GAGCGTGCCACTGCACTCCAGCCTGGGCAACAGAGTAAGACTCCAACTAAAAAAAAAAAAGACGAAAAGTAAATTACATTAGTAATTATCTTCTCTTCCCAGCTGAGACTCTGCTACTGGTAGCCTCTTTTGAGACAAGAAAAGTTCAGTGATTTAGTTAATTTGCAAATATTTACTTGTTTTTATGTTAGTGGAATACATTACAAGGTTATGATCCAAACTTGTTCTTTGGGGCTGTTGATACAGTTATTCTTATTGGATTGCTGTTTTGTTATAGTGTAGAGTATATATCAGGTAAGGAAGTAATATTAAAATCAGGAAAATAGCAAAATCTAATCTTTAATTCTTAATTTTTTTTTTTTTTTTGGTTTGTTTTTTGGCTTTAGGTTATGGATGATGAATCAGACGAAAAAGAAGCAAACTCACCTTAAAATAACTTGGAGTTCTTTGGCTGCAAGTTGGACTTGTTAAGAATATACATACCAAGCTTTTATTATTAATATGCTGAGGAAACTTGAGTAATAAAATATGTCCTTTCTTCAGAGAATGATATATAAATATTGGCATGTTTGCTTTACCTCATGTGAGTTATTTATAACATCTTGAATCATCTTCTGTACACGTGGATTTTATCCAGGGATATTTTTATTTTTGTTTCTCATTTCTTATGGTTCCTTCTTTACATATGTATGAAGCAGTTAAAAATAAATTTTCCCCTATCAAATTTATTTAACTTTTTTATACAAGAGTAAATAGAATGCTTTTAAAAATATTCTTGCCGGGCTCAGTGGCTCAGCCTGTAATCCCACGCTTTGGGAGGCTGAGGTGAGTGGATTGCCTGAGCCCACGGGTTCGAGATCCGCCTGGGCAACTTGGCGAGACCTCATCTCTACAATAAATAAAAAAATTAGCTGGGCATGGTAGCGCACGCCTGTCGTTCTAGCTACTTGGAAGGCTGAGGCGGAAAGATCGCTGGAGGCCCAGCAGGTTGAGGCTGTGGTGGCCAGGAGCGTGCCACTGCACTCCAGTCTGGGTGACAGAGTGAGACTCCAACTCAAAAAAAAAAAAAAAATTCTTAAAGGACTTACCTTTTGGGAAGTATCTAAAACTATATTTATTGAAGTTTTTAGCTTAAAAAAACAATAGCTTGTTAAAAAACAAAAAACTAAACAATTTTGGTTTAAAAATGATATTTGGGGCCGGGCTCGGTGATTCAACCTGTAATCCCAGTGCTTTGGTAGGCCGAGGTGAGTGGATTGCCTGAACCCATGGGTTCGAGACCCGCCTGGGCAACTTGGCAAGACCTTATCTCTACAATAAATCAAAAACTAGCCAGACGTGGTAGCGCGTGCCTGTAGATCTGGCTACTTGGAAGGCAGAGGCAGGAGGATATCCGGAGCCCAGCAGGTCAAGGCTGCAGTGACCGGGAGTGCCTACTGTACTCCAACCTGGGTGACAGAATGAGACTCCAACTCAAAAGAAAAAAAAATGGTATTTGGCCATTGCCCTCAATTTGGGAGCACATAACTTCTTACTGGAAAACCAGAAAAAAAAAAAATCATAATGCTAAAAACTCAAAAACTAAATTTCAGAATCTAGACACAATTTCTATGGGTTAAGACAGCTGTATGAGAAAAACTGCCTTAGTATACCCAGGTTTTATCTTATGAAACAGAATCTCTGACATAAAAAAGAGAAGCTGCTTTGGTCCTCTCACTGGCTTTTCCTGACTCAGAAATCCATACTCTGGCCAAGCACGGTGACTTACGCCTATAATCCTAGCACTTTGGGAGGCCGAGGTGAGAGGATTGCCTAAGCTGATGGGTTCAAGCCCAGCCTGGGCAACTTAGCAAGACGTCATCTCTACAATAAATCAAAAAATTAGCTAGGCGTGGTGGCACGTACCTGTACTTCCAGCTACTTGGAAGGCTGAGTTGAATCACCTGAGCCCAGCAGATCGCGGTGCGGTGGCCGTGAGCAGCATGGCACTACACTCCAGCCTGGGCTACAGAGTGAGACTCTGACTCAAAAAAAAAAAAAAAAAAATTTTTCTACCATAGATAGGAGTTCTGCTTTTTCAGATATCCAAAGGAATGAGTTAGCCTTATCTTTCACTTTTCTGTAGTAATTCAGAAACAGCAGTCAACAGAAAATAGTAGGAAAGGATAGATGGGAAAATAGCAGTGATCCATTATACCTCTGGAATTCCAGTTCCCCAAGGTATAGAGATTAAAATAATGGAAACAGGAAGAACTTCAGCGATTATAAATGCTGGGAATTGAAGTTTTTCCTTTTGTTCTTTAGTTCACTAAACCAGACAGTAGGGTTTGCCATGTGTCAGGCTAGGTGTGGCTGGTGGTGTTGGGTAAAAGTATTTACCAAGACAAGTTATGAATTAAGAAAGGTAGAAGGGTACTAAAGAGACAGGGTTTGAACCTACCCTGAAACAGTGGCCTGAGGTTCTTCCCAGTGGAGTTCAACCTACATTACGGTTAGGGTAAGTTTTAGGATTCCAGTCTTGCATTCAGGTTCCCACCATGCAAATGGAGCAGTTCTGATTGAATGATGATTGACCTTGATTGTAAGCTGCGCTTAGGCTAGCAAAAGATTAACAAAGGGTGGCTTTTGTACAAAATGTCTTCCAGAGGGTTGGGTAATTCATTCCTTCAGCTATCATAGATGAATTTACTCTAGATGCTGAGAACTGGTTTCTAGGCAGGGCAACTTAACATGCTCTGTAGTTGAAACTACAAAAAAAATCAAGATTGTGGAAGAGAAGCAATGATGGAAAGTCTTGGATGTGTCCATGAATTAATTGGCTGAAGTGGACAGAGGATTAGATTTTTAAAAGAGAGGAAATTGGCCGGGCTCAGTGGCTCAGCCTGTAATCCCAGCACTTTGGGAGGCCAGTGTGAATGGATTGCCTGAGGCCATGGGTTCAAGACCAGCCCACTTGGTGAGACCTTGTCTTTACAATAAATAAAGGATTGCTGGAGCCCAACAGGTTAACACTGGGTTGGCTGTGAGTGTGCCACTGCACTGCAGCCTGGGTAACAGAGAGAGACTCAACTCAAATAAAGAGAGGAAATTATAGAGTTGAGAGGCCAAGGTTTTCTACAAAAGAGAGCAGTTATGAACAAGGAGGAAAGGTACGGGAGGAACATTCTAGGCTTAAGGAGCAGTGTAATTGATTGAAAGTGTGAAATGTATTTGGAGACCATGAGAAGCTAAGAATGGCTTACATATAAAGTGGGAATGCTGCAGAAGTAGGCAGGGCAATATGGAGAGTGCTGCAGAAACTCTTGGTTGCCTACCCAACATACTCCCCATTTCTTGCTAGGAAGTCCCTCACAGTAGGTCTTACCTCAGTCCCAGGGGATAAGTCATAACTAGTCCAAACTAGTCATTTTGTTAAACCCGAGACTCTAATCAGAGAGAGAGAGAGAGAGACCACAAAGAGCCAGCTCTGATGCAAACACACGAGGGTCTTTATTCAGGCTCGAGTCTGGGCTCACGCATGAAGCCTATAAAGGCTTCATGGACCAGAGCCCTGATTCACAATGGCAAGCAGTTTTTATGCACAATTACAGAGGGAGGGGAAAGAACTTTAAACTTGATTTTACATGATTGGGTAATTTCTCCTAATGGGTACGGGAACACTTGGTATTGGTGCCTTTCGTGGCTGTAACCTGACTGCCCGTGATTGACAGAAACCCACTTAACGGGCAGAGTGGAATGTCAGATAAGTTAGGTCCATACAGTCACTGCATATAAAGTAACCTGAGCAGGCAGGTAAAGAGTTACATTAGCCCTTTAAGTTTGCTGATCCACCCTGAGGTATGCTTAGGAAAGCTTGTTTGCTTAACATTTACATAACATAACATGGTCATTATGGGACAACAAAAGCCAAACTTAACGAAGTTTTAAATATGCTGCAAGCACATACAGTGAATGTGGGGTAGAAATTTATATTGTACTAATTCTGGGAATTTATAAAATATCACAAATGTCTTATAGCAAAGGGTTTTTGTAAAAGCCTTTGATCCCTTCAGGTTTACATAGCCACTGCTTGTTAATTAACACTGGCATGGAAGCAGGTGGTTTAAATCAATATAAAGCCCACCTAGAGAGCAGCTAGCACCTCAGAGTCTACTGTGATAGGAAAGGAATGTCTGAAAGGGGCTTATCGCTTTAACATTTACATCCCGTTGTAAAAGCAGAAGTCAGTAAGGCAATTAGGACTGACAATGCTTAACCTAAGAGTTCTAAATACAAACACCACTTAAGACATTTTATATAACTACACAATCAGTCACTACCCGGCACCCGACATATGCCTAATTCTACGGGGTCTGAGGTAGGATTTAAAGTACTAAGATTTGATAAAGTACAATGAACATGAGGTAGGAATACACAAAATATATAGTAAACATGAGGTAGGGATATATCAAATAAAGTGAACTAAACACTACTTTTACAGCAAGTATGACTTTTTAAGTTTCTTGATTTCTTGGGTCTCTCAATAGCATGCTCTTAACCTAAGTCTGTTATTGTCCTCTCAATTTTAGCTCCATTTTTTTCTTTGCCATCGATATGGGTGGCCATGTGAGCTGTAAGAGAAAGCGTGTTGGAGAATTCTGGAAAGATTTTCTTTCCTGGTTTGAGATAGAGAGCAAGAGCAAGAGACAGCTTTCCTGGTTTGAGATAGAGAGCAAGAGCAAGAGACAGCGTGAATTAATCTCTGGAAAGAAGACTTTTCTCCCATTCATTCCTTTTTTCTTGCTCAGTACACTGTAGTGTATGATGTCCAAAGCATGAAAAGCTGGTCCCCTCTGAAGCATGAAAAGCTGGTCCCCTGAGAATGACAAGGAGGAAAGAAACAGTCTGGATCCTTGAGGACATTGCTGACCTTTGAGCTGGCCTAGGAGCCACCTACTTTCAGAGTTTATATGATGTGAGATCAATGTTTTTCTTGTTTTAGCTGCTGTTATCTAGTATTCTGTAACTTGAAGTTGATTGCATTCTGTGTGTTTGGTTTTCATCCAGGGTTCCTAGCTGGTAGCTCCCCATAGTCTTTTGTTACAATGTTGGGTGTGTTAGGCCTCAGAGGCATGGCTTAGTAAACAATCTCTCCGACATTCACCTGCCCCAATGTAGGACTCTAATCCCCCTCTGATGATAGGACACTCCTCCCCCTCTGTAGGGGGTATTCACTCCTCCCCCTCTGTAGGCATGGCTTAGTACAATCCCCCTCTAATATAGGACACTCCTCCCCCTCTGATTGTGAGTATTCAGACCCTCTGCAGTCCCCACCCAAACCCTGAGGGAAAGAATGCTGATGTCTTGAAGCTTCCCTACCCATTCCTCCCACCCTCCCACACACACACCTTGCGGAACTGGGTTCCAGAGCTGATCTCTGGGAGTTTCTGTGCCCAAGGAGGGCACAGAAACTCTACATACCTTCCCCCGTACCTTGCCCTGAACGTCTCCGCATCTGTATCCTTTACAATAAACCAGAAAGTGTAAGTATTTCCCTGAGTTCTGTGAGTCCA